CAACGTTTCAGAGGTCATACTGCCTCCGTCATCAGAGTATGAAGATTTCTGTCTTCTGGGTTGTTGCGCTGTGTAGTCTGGTCGATGTTAACCAACGTTTCAGAGGTCATACTGCCTCCGTCATCAGGGCGATTCACCCAGAAGACGGATATCTTCAAACAAGAACTCATCCGCGTGCTTATTACTAAATCATATTTTCTGTACTTCCGTGAATCTGATTCATGTTCTTTGTTCGCAGCTTTACATACCTAGTGAAGCCCGTCTTCTGTAGGCATGGATGAGACAGCAAGAAATTAATTAGTACTATACTCTGTAAAATGAATAAGACCGTCTAACCATGACGTAAAATCGAGACAAATATTTATGTACAGCTTAGTGGAGATTACATAGATCAAAAATTTTAACAGTGCATGATATGTTACAAAATCCTCTCACTGATGTTGAGTCAGAAACCAACATTTCAGAGACTACTTCTGTCTTCATCATCGGGGTCAATGTGAGGAATAACCAGAATTCACTGATATTTTGGAGACAGTGCTAGTCCCTGAAACATTTGCTTTTGACTCGAGGACTTTACGATACTGACGAAGTCCGTTTGCGGAAATATACACCATATGTGGCATTTACATAAAGAGCAGAAGATATGTCTTTAAGAGGTTGATGAAGCAATTATGGAGTTTTATACAGAGACAAAACTCTCTTTTGATATTTTTATTAAAGAAAGATGATAAGTGTGTGAACAGAGAAAAATTCCAGTATCAAAAGATAATAGATCTATCATTAAATTTAATATTCACATCTTCCGCTTCTTCTTGGTAAAAATGGCAAAAAAACATCATAGCTCAGCAAAAAGATTTGCTACATTAACACTGGAGTTTTCAGCAGCAAAACTCTTGTTAATTGTGATAAATGAAAATTCAACAGAAAAAGATAATGTAATTAAGCGCAGCATCAGAAAACTACATGTAGGGTTTGAGGCTTTCATGGCAATGTGATTGTGGTCCGTGCTGTTGCGCCATGTGCTCCTATAATCGTGCGCCTGTTGCCGTAAGACTGCACGGGGCAACAGTTCAGAAGGCCACGACCCAAATAAATGCACAAAAATTAAAGAAAAACAAATGACATTAAAATTTAAAAAAATTGCAATAAAGTCAGCAACACATATTCATATCAACGCAACTGGCATTTTCCTGATACCAACATGCAGTATGAGTGATAAATTATGAATCTAAACCAGTGCTTCCCAAACCTGGGTAAAAGTGGTTTTTCTTTGGGTAACGACACACCCATTTCTGTGTGGCTTGACTGAAATGACGGAGCTTGGGTCGAGCAGTCAGCGCAAAATATTTGAAGGAAAAAAGTGCCATTTGGAGTCTTTCTGGTTGACAATTCATGCTGAGCTGGGGAGGCCGTGATGCAGTTTCCGAGCACCTGCATGTGCGAAGTGGGATTTTCCACTCTTGCCTTCCTAAAGAGCACAAAACCCTGAATACGACGTGAGGTGTGCTCTGTCTCCAATTGCTCCCAATTTTGCGGAACTAGTGAATAAGATGGAGCAGTGGCGTTGCACTCATTGGCTGGGACCTACCAAATTTTCTGTGGCTGCTAAAATGTTTAGAGACGCTTAAAATAAAGACATTGCGTCAAAAATATTGTTTCCTTATCTCTTCGCTTGTCATTTATGTTTTCTGTGCAGTTATTGTTTAACCTACATTGGGTAAAAAGGACTTTCTGATTATCGGTTTTGGGTAATTAAGGAAAAAGTTTGGGAAACAGTGATCTATATTCATCGATGTTCCCTCAATCACAGATTAATAAGTGTACTATCAAAATACATTTTACTGATTGTTCCTACTCTTCTCATTTTTCATTTTCAAGATTGGTTTTTATTTAAACAAAATTTACCGTGTACTGTAAAGAAACAGAGCAAGATCTCTTAAATGTGAAGTTTGAGCGAGGAATTTACAGTTTGACACCACAAATACGGTTCCTAGCACAGAACGGTCTTACGCGGAAAGAATCGACTGGCATAAGAATGTGCAATGCTTCAGACCAAACAGAACTTGAGAAGACGAAGCGTAAGTTTGATTTCAGATTCTCATAAAGGTGAGTACGAAGATGACCATCTTCTGGGTTGTAGCGTGATTAGTCTGGTAGAAGTTTACCAGACCACATGGCACTCTTGCCCGAGTTACTGCTATAAATATATCAGTTTTGTGTGCGCACTCTGCAAGACCCGTATTACATTGACGAATATGTACCGAAGGTGGCCGAATTGGCTGATAAAGTATTCTTAATAACGAAGCAACTGTTAAGCGATAGCAGATGGAAATACAAATTATAATTTCAGTTTTAGATGGTTTAAAATTTGAATTAAGATACTGTATTACACGCTGCACGGGATTTCTCTGGCCAGAGACGTTCCTTATATCTGAAGCTATTAATGCCTGGTTATATTGACTGCTGCATTATGGGAAATATGTGCAAATCTCACGTACTCCCATAAGAGAACAGTTTTTTCTTAAGAAACTAATATTCATTCAAGTGGTCAAGAAACTCGTCTCATCTTCCGCGGAACCTTAGGGTTCATGGAATATTAAAATTTATTAAAAAAAAAATTGAGAATTAAATGTACATCTTTTCTTGGATCAATTAATTTAACAATTTCTCTACGCATAGCAATGACACTTGGACAGTTTATTAAAAAAAATTATTTTCTCTCTGTTTTCATGTGTAATCCTCTTTAGCCGATTCATTTTTTTGTCCAAGATCTTGCTGTTTGCCCCCTAGCAGTGCTTACGGGCGTACACAAATTACACTTAAATCTGTTGCACTGTTATTATCGCTCGGAGCATGGAAACTGGAGCGTTGATGATATTATTAGATTGAGGACAGAATTTTGTCAACTCACCCTAATTGTGACTGGGTGATTAGAGTAGTCAACTGGCTCGCAGCGCAGATTATAACGACCAGTCAGCCACCCTGACATGCCTATCTGCAATGACACAACAAAATGTTTCCTTCAGCAACAAACAAACAAGGAAATTATATCAGATTAATTATGTCTTAGATGGGCATTTAAATATCAGTCGACGGCAACTTCAGTTAAATCAAATTAACTAAACTCAACAAAACAGTCTGTACTGAATAAACCCTTGCAGGCATCAGTTAAAACTTTCTCCTCTAATGCCGACAGCTAACAGGATTCGACGTAACAGTTCAGTCAGGCAGTCCGACATACGAGGTGCGATCGGAAAGTTTCAAGACTGTGTCAATAGATGGCGAACCGGTTGTAGTACGAGCTTCTGCCGCTAGGGGGTGCGGCCTACATTCATAGTGAATCAGTGTGCCAGCCGGCATCATCGAATTAGCATTTGTTTCTTAGTTACGGGCGTTTTGGTAGTGCATTACACCAACCCTCCTGCGATTTCGGAATGGCGTGTGCATCAAATTTTGCCAAAGACTCGCCAAAACGGCTACGGAAACCTATGAAATGCTAAAGCAAGCATTTGGGGAGTCCGCAAACTTTTGTGTGGCATTCACGTTTTAAAAATGGCCGAACCCCTGTCGATGATGACGAGCATTCTGGACGACCATCTTCGAGCACAACGCCCGAAAAAGTTACGAAGAT